ATAGGAGTTCCTTGCCAACTGCAAGGGTTACTTTCTTGGATTCACCGTGGTTAGCAAGACCAAAGTCTTATAGGAAACCGGACGTTTGTGCAAAATGGCCGCTGTTAACTGTCGTCAAAACTTGACTTGTCTGTTTATTGACTAAAGAGCTACGTAACATACTAACTAATACAATGAAATCGCAAGTTCTGTTGACTATTTACCCTTAAGACATCTGATTACTGATAGCTGAAGTATAAGAAGTTTGCCAAGGCGACGCTAATGGTTGTGCTTGCTCTGTTCTTATCTTCTTACGGTTCACCGATATCCTGTCGGTGAAAGGAAATGAATTATGCAATGGCATCTTAGCTGGTGGAGAGCTGAAGTTAGTGATGGATGTTGCGGGAGCATCGTTGGAGATTTTTCTCGAAAAAAGAAGAAGTCTAGGATTGATGATGGTTGCCTCATTTTTGATCGATCCCTCTGCACTTCACGTCAGGGGCGCATTAATTCCCTGGAGTTAGGTTAGGGCTCCATAAAGAGATGGATTTGCGTAATGTGATTGGCAAGACTGCAAGTAATCGGTATATTCCTCCTAAGGTCGTCGAAAGACATTACGTTTTCTTTTTCCAATACAGACTCTTCCCCATTATCACTGTCGCTGGACTTCATCATCATCTCAAGGTACTCTGAGGTCCGAAGAAACACAGCAATATCAATAGGGTTCATATGGGTTATCCCCTTCCCTTCAAAATTTGGGGTAGCATCCGCAACGTACTGCACCTCACCAACAACAGAAGGTGAGCCAGGCAAATGTCATCATCATCGCCTGCAAGGGGTTTGCTTGTTAGCACTTTCCATCCTCAAACAAGAAGCATCTTTGAGGATTACGAGCAACTCTTTTCTTGCTTGAGCAGGTTACCAGCTGATTGAACCCCGCCCCCCTCCCTATCTTGGAGGACCATTGATTTTATTCAGGGTTTCCTTCACTTAGGTAACCTACTATTGCTAAGGAGTCATACCTACCCGCCACGTAACCTGGGAAGGGAACCTTACCAGGTGCTACCCAGAGCCAATGCGACCTGAAGCTCGCATAAAACAAGATCGCCACTTCCTGTAGCTGAACTACTAATTATCATCTCATCCTTCCACATTCCTGGTTCCGATCCCTAACCCCGTCAACAATAGGTCTAAAACAAATCAAATCGTGTCCCTGCAGAATTATAGATTCATTAGGTATAAATATCGTGGCGTGTAGAGAGCCGTTACTATGTTACAACATAGTAAACAACTTATCAGCGTAACAGTGATTGTACACGCAACAGAGGAACACGTCCGCGGTGACGTCACGCAACAATAGGAGAACTTCAGGAAGCAGTGTTGTCACGCGGTCCGGCACCAGGTGGATAGTGCCGCTGCAGTGGAACACGTGATACCGCGTCACCCACTTCAACAGAAGAACGATGTTTTCTGTTGGCTCCGCTCTGAGGTTATATCACTCAACAGACCGAGTTCAGTTAGTGTTAGTGTACAGGAGTCGAGTAGAAGTGAGCTGAGTTGAGAGTCGACAGTTGTGGGACAGTCGCCAGCCGATAAGAACATGAGCACGGAAGCAGAAGACCTTGTTAAAGCCGTTATAAGACAATAGGCGAATACAAAGCAGACTGGGAAGACTTAAGTGTGCTGTAGTGAACTGCAGAGTGTGAATTAGCGATAGCGCT